GACTACATCGACAAGTGGATGCCAAATCATAAAACCTGAACTTCAAAACCCAAGAACTAGGAGGTGAAATGAAATGAGAAACAAGAAAACAACTTTTTACTCTATATGGTACACAGGGCCATGGGTGTCCCAGCTTGATTACCAATTTATTTACTACTATTTATTTACTTCTCTTAATTTCAAGAGATTTGAAAATAATTTGGCAGACAATTTATCCAAACTTCACCTAAAAAGGGTGTTGATGATTCATCGAGTGGGACAAGTTTGAGCGACAAGGGAGTCATCTATGGAAGTAACCCAGCCTTTATAATCAGAGATACTATAAAAAAAGGTTCAATAGTAGAAACGACATAGACTGCGTAACTTGTAGCACTATATTATTGTGCTCATCCATATGGTGATAGTACCAATGATTGTGACGTCGGGAAGGATTTGACCCTAAATGAGTACTGGATGATGAATCTTGCAAGGTACAGGTTATACACACCCTTCGAGAACTCAGCTACGTAAGAGTTTTCATGAGGTCGTGGCTATAGGATTGGGCTATGCCTAAAAGACTCAATAGAATGAAGGTTAGAACATATGACCATTTACAATGCTACCCACTTTGAATTGGGCTTAAATCGATATTGTGTGTGTTGCAATTAAAATTTGACTAAATAGACTTAATTCAAAGCTTAGTCAATTATGACTCCCTTACACACTTATTGCACAGTACAACATTAACACTATATTTATCTATTTTTAACTTTCAAAATAATTGATTTAATTTTTTCAGTTTTAATTTATCTTAATTATTAATTTTATCCTTAATTTAATTTTCAGATTTAATTCAAATTTAAAAGGTAAGGTAAGTTATATTTGAATGGTTTAATTTACTAGGACGTGGGAGTTGAATTTTCACCATAAAAGGAATGGATCTTTCATTATCTACACATAACTTGAAAGAATACTCGCTATACATTACATCTTATATTGTCTTATAGTTTTGACAACTTGATATAAGGTATTAAGATTTGTTCATTTTCACTCCGTAGTCGTCCACATAGAAGGAGAACCAATTGTGAGCTATAAATATTTTATCTTTGAATCGTGTAATGGCAAAATTACCCGCACGGAAGGAAGACCAACCGACTGATTTTCGTGACTCTCGTGTCAGTTTGTCTATAACCCCTCTTCTCAATTTTGTATTATATTATTTTGTTGTTTTAGAAAATATTTATTACGTAAATTACTTATTTTTTATAACAATTATAAGAGTCAAGAAAATATTCGAAGAATATTCAATATAGTGGACTAGGTGAAACCATCCCGGATCATCTTTCATCACCGGACGGTCGTTCCATGTTTTGGGGCGACCGGAGGCTGATATGCAGATTCAGTGATTCTGCATGCCTGCCGGCCGCAAGCTGCCAATTCCCAGCCAAAAAAAAAAAAAAAAAANCACTAATATTAACCATGGATTGCATCTTCATCATTTTTTTCTTAAATATGTAAGTTTAAGTCAAAAAAAAAAAAAAACGCTGAGTAATTTGTCTTCCCTCTTTTTACATTTTTAACAAATCTTTAAGGGATCATAGTTTTATAAGACAATAGTCTCATGAAATTTCTGAACAGGTTCGATTAATAATTGAAGGAAGAAAAGTATGTTTTTCCATGTTACTTTTATTTGTACCCATTATCACCTCAAAAGTAACAAGAATACAGAGGTAGCTACGGATTAATGGTACTTAATGTTGGACAATACGATTTTTAGATTAAAAAGATAAATTCAAAACTATTTATCCTTTTTTGTTAAAAAAATATTCGGCTAGATGTTAAATTCGCATTACAAATGTCTTACACCGATGAAGACTTTTGTCTCGTGATTAATTTCGAATCTAAGTCATTAGTTGTTTCTACATGCAATTTTGTAACGTTCTTAATCGACGAGCATTTTTGAATTCCACGTCCTTCCAACATTCAAAATTTCTACTGTATTTTTCAAAATATTGACTACATCGACAAGTGGATGCCAAATCATAAAACCTGAACTTCAAAACCCAAGAACTAGGAGGTGAAATGAAATGAGAAACAAGAAAACAACTTTTTGCTCTATATGGTACACAGGGCCATGGGTGTCCCAGCTTGATTACCAATTTATTTACTACTATTTATTTACTTCTCTTAATTTCAAGAGATTTGAAAATAATTTGACAGACAATTCATCCAAACTTCACCTAAAAAGGGTGTTGATGATTCATCGAGTGGGACGAGTTTGAGCGACAAGGGAGTCATCTATGGAAGTAACCCAGCCTTTATAATCAGAGATACTATAAAAAAAGGTTCAATAGTAGAAACGACATGGACTGCGTAACTTGTAATAGCACCATATTATTGTGCTCATCCATATGGTGATAGTACTAATGATTGTGATGTCGGGAAGGATTTGACCCTAAATGAGTATTGGATGATAAATCTTGCAAGGTGCAGGTTACACACACTCTTCGAGAACTCATCTACATAAGAGTTTTCATGAGATCGTGGCTGTAGGATTAAGCTATGCCTTAAAAAGACTCAATAGAATGAAGGTTAGGAGCATATGACCATTTATAATGCTACCCACTTTGAATTGGGCTTAAATCGATAATATGTGTGTGGCAATTAAAATTTGACTAAATGGATTTAATTCAAAGCTTAGTCCATTATGACTCCCTTACACACTTATTGCACAGTACAACATTAACACTATATTTATCTATTTTTAACTTTCAAAATAATTGATTTAATTTTTTCAGTTTTAATTTACTTAATTATTAATTTTATCCTTAATTAAATTTTCAGATTTAATTCAAATTTAAAATCTTAAAAGGGAAGTTATATTTGAATGGTTTAATTTACAAGGACGCGGGAGTTTTCACCATAAAAGGAAGGGATCTTTCATTATTTACTCGCTATACATTTATCTTATATTGTCTTATAGTTTTGACAACTTGATATAAAGTATTAAGGTTTGTTTATTTTCACTTCGTAGTCGTCCACAGAGAAGGGGAACTAATTGTGAGCTATAAGTATTTTATCTTTGCACCGTGTAATGGTAAAATTACCCGCACGAAAGGAAGACCAACCGACTGATTTCCGTGGCTCTCTTGTGTCAGGTTGTCTATAACCCCTCTTCTCAATTTTGTATTATATTATTTTGTTGTTTTAGAAAATATTTATTACGTAAATTACTTATTTTTTATAACAATTATAAGAGTGAAGAAAATATTCGAAGAATATTCTAGGGCTGGGCAAAATGTCCGAACCGAGCGGGTTTTTTTAAATGAAATACCCGAACGGGTATCCGAATCGAGAACCGAATGGTTTGGTTCGGTTCTCGGTTCTAGACCCAGAATCGAATAAGAACCGAAATTTTTTTTATATTGGATAAATCAATTTCTTTTATTTTTTCTAAATAAACTAATAATTTTTTTATTATTAAATCTTATTAGTTGAACAATTTATAGTTTAATTATATTTGTTATTTTTGTTTTTTAAAGTTTTTTCTT